GCAGGAGTTAGAAGCTGAGTGGTATCGCTGGAGCTTGTGTTGGGAAAGGCGCGTGCACAGTGAATATTAAGCAGATAAACACATGAGAAGGAAATTCACATTACATGCCCAGATGTCATTCACAATTCAAATAAGCAGCCATTAATAGGGCACTAATGGCAACTGAGTAATCCATCTGATGCTCTTTATGAGAAGTGAATGGCAGCTGTGAAATTCTCCTCAGAGGTGTGAAAGTCACATACAAGCTGATGGAGTCCTTGTGAAGTTCTGGAATATGAGCAGAGCTCACAAAAACATCACCCGTGAGAGGCATGACCACCAAGAAGTGATGGGGGTGATCAATATCAACGGTTCGAAGTACAACATCTGTCTAAACATTACACGTATATAACAGACATACTGTTATGGGTTGGATTATGTCCCCCCCAAAGCTATGTTCAAGACCTAACCCCTGGTACCTGTGATATAACATTATTAGGAAATAGGGTCTTTGCAGATGTGACCAAGTAAAGATGATGTCATACTAGAGTAGGGTGGGCACTAAGTTCAATGACTGGAGTCCTCATAATAGGGAAATCTGGACATAGAGACACAGATACAGAGAAAACACCAAGTGATGACAAAGAGATTAGAGTTAGGCATCTACAAGCCAAGGAACACCAAGGACTGTTGACAACCACCAGAAGCTGGGAGAAGCATGGAGCTGATTCAACCCCAACCTCAGAGTCTCCAGAAGGAACCAACCCTGTCAACACCTTGATTTTGAACTTTTGGCCTCCAAAACTATGAGAGAATACATTTCTGTTTTAAGCCATATAGTTTGTGGTACTTTGTTACAGAATCCTAGAACTATAATATACATACATTTATCACACATCTATACACACAACACACACACACAATTAAAAGGGTATCTGCCTAGACAAAAAGTTTACTCTTTGGATGACTTTAATGGGATCCTAGGCTCCCTACCAAATTACTCACTTTTGCACTGTTAATTCCCTAATCAAAAGAACATAATATTTAAATTCTTCCCTCACTTGAACTAGATCTTTAAAATTTTCTAAATCTTGTGAGTCTGTTCTCTTCACTACAAGAATAAAATATCAGCCAAAAGGTATCACACAATTAAAAGACAACAGATGTTGCCCTCTGGGATGGAGCAAAGTATATCTGATGAAAAGTATACTGGTACCTAGAGATGGTTCTGTACCCGAAATGTTTCTACCAAAAGGGAACTCTCTTCAGAAAACAGGAAGGCCCTCACCGTCTTACTCTTCCCAACAAACTAAATATCCCAGCCACAGGTCAGGATTAGGATAAAAGACATTTACGCATTAATTGAATCAGAAGAACAACTGCGCATAGACATTAAGAAGGTCAGGGAGGATGCAATGAGCTTTTTGTACAGGCAGATCACACAGCAAAATGTCTTTCATTGAAAATAGCTGCCCCATTGATCACTTTTAACAGTTATAAGAGAAAAGTAGGACAAGTCAAAAGGTAACAAGAACACCAAGAAATAGAAAGGTCACATAGCTCCCTCAAAATCCCTCAACCTGTTGCCAACCACACCTGTCACTGGCTGCCCACTCACTGTTTGTATGCGTAACTAATCACAGGTGAGGCTGAGAGCTATGATCAGTTTTGTCAACTACCTGTACACCCTGGGGACAACTCATATCACTCCCATAGTCTCCATACCCCTGGGGCAACAACACAGTGAATTACATCCCAAATTCAGAAAATTATATACATAAAGCTGCTCAATTAAGCAAGAACAATAGATGTTAACTTATTTGACATGAAATGAAATCACTTTCAAGCTTACGATTCCTTGACTATAAGAAAGAATTTCACGAGGGCAAGACTGTAGTGTGAAAGAAAGAAATCATGGTTCTTCTCAATCATTTTCTTTCCCAAACAACCATTTATGGCTCTCTCCTGCCACTGTCATGAGACTCTTGGGTCACGTGGACAGGGAGTGGAAGTAAGTTCCCTGCTCTCATTAAGAAAGGCAAAGATGGTAGTAACTACCTGCTTAGTTCTAGGCAGAGACAGGTGGTCCAGCGCTGGGAAACACAAATTCACCAGGGCTAAAGGCCTTCCTGAAACACAAATTTACCAGGGCTAAAGGCCTTCCCGGCACAAGGTGGCCCTTGTATTCACAATTCTTTCAGCACCCAGAGGCTCCTGATATGTACCCACTGGGGCACACCTGGAAGTTATCCTGCTGTAAGCTCTTCATGTCCCCCAAGGGATAATTCCTTTGACCTCTAGTCAAATAATGAAAGGAAAGGTGCCCAGGGTAAGCTCCTATAGGGCATGAGAAAAGATCACAGAAGATCTTTCCTCTGACCCAGAAGGGCTTGGCCTTGAACCCCACAGAAGGAATGAGCTATTTCCACATGAGAAAGGGATGTCCTTTCAGGTAATCACCATGCTCTCTCCCTTAAAAATAATGTGTGTTTTAGCAGGGCTCAGTGGCTCAGCCTGTAATCCTGCATCTTTGGGAGGCTGAGGTGAGTAGATTGCCTGAGCCCGCGGGTTCGAGACCCGCCTGGGGCAGTGAGACCTCATCTCTACAATAAATCAAAAAATCAGTCGGGCGTGGTAGCGTGCACCTGTAGTTCCAGCTACTTGGAAGGCTGAGGCGGAGGGATCGCCGGAGCCCAGCAGGTCGAGGCTGCTGTGGCCGGGAGCGGCCACTGCACTCCAGTCTGGGTGACAGAGTGAGACTCCCACTCAAAAAAAAAAAAAAAGTGTTTTTAAAACCATATGTGATATTATGAAATGTCAGCGGAATAAAACATATTACTTGAAAAATCGAAGAAGCAGGACTGACAGTGGTCTATTTAGGTCACCCCACTGGGTGCAATTCTTCTTTTGCTGTATCAGCATGCAAGAGAAATACCCGTGTGTTAATCAAAATGTAAGAGTCCATTATGCGTTGCCGAGACATCACAGTTGGGCCCAAATAGGATGGAACAAACTGTGAACGCCCAAAGGGAAAACAGCATAAGCCACAATAGTGACAAAATAGCAATATAGGGGAAAGGAAGCCACAAGTGCGACATGGTCCTTGGTGATTCTAGCACTGCTCATACCAGACACGTGAACTCCAGGGTGAGAGAAGCCAGGGCAACAAACCCAGGGCCCCAACCATGTGGCTTCCAGCAACCCCAGCCTGAAATCCCAAGAGTTCAAGGGGCCTGAAGGCAGATTTACTTAGAAAAGGTGATCATTTTACTTGCAGCTGAGTTAACCTTTATATAACCTCTACAATAGCTAGCTCTAAGAAATAATGGGAAAGATTTGCTAGGTAGGTGCAATCAAACTGGCTGTGGCTAAAATTCATACTCAGACACAAAGGAACAAATAAAACACCAGCACAACCCACAGATAGATCCCAGGAAAAGAGCTGAAAACACAATTGAGTAAACACTGCCTTTTCTCACATCCCCAAATCATGCAATTTTCTAGCGCCTATATATATTTCCCATCGAATAGGCAAACTTTTTCTTACTTGACTCCCACATACAAGCCTCCATTTTAATTTTTTTTTTTTTGAGTTGGAGTCTCACTCAGTCGCCCAGACTGGAGTGCAGTGGCCGCTCTTGGCCACCGCAGCCTCGCCTGCTGGGCTCTGGCGATCCTTCCACCTCAGCCTTCCGAGTAGCTAGAATTACAGGAATGCGCTACCACGCCCGGCTGATTTTTTGATTTATTGTGGAGATGAGGTCTTGCTGCCCAGGCGGGTCTCGAACCCGCGGGCTCAGGCAATCCACTCACCTCAGCCTCCCCAAAGCACGGGATTACAGGCTGAGCCACCGAGTTTGGCTCATTTTAACTTCTAATATTCCCAAACCGTCAATTCAACACGGGCAACCAAAAAAGTAGACCTTCCCCTGATGCAACCCTATGAGGTATTCAAGACATGACTACAAAACTAAAAAGTGGCAGAGCCACAAGCAAAGCCCACACAAAATTCTATACTTTTCTCAACAGTTCCACAGTATCCAGGACAAGCGTTAAATGCTAGAACACGTGTTACAGGAAACAGGTGAAGCTACTTAGGACTACTGCTAAAAGACAGCTAAGGGACAAAACAGGGTGAAATGTTTAACTTAAAAAAAAGAGAAAATTAAAAAAAAAATAGGATGATACACAGAACAAGGAGGGAAGGGAACGCTACAGTACAAAGTTGTGCCTCTCCTCTCTCTCCAAAACAAGACAAGCGCTGCCATGAAGAAAATGTATAGTTACCTGCATCCATATCTGCAAAGAATGGAACAGCCAGTAAGAAAAAGAAGGAACCAGAAATTCAGTGTCTCAGAGTTGGATTTAAAACGGTTACATGGAGAGAAAATATAATTTAGAACACTGCTTGTGAACAACACCTTGATTAGGGGACGTGGGAGCTAAATGGCTTCCTACCATTATCATCATAATTTTACTTAAAGCAAAAAAATAAAATATGAATATGTTAACTAAAGAAGCAAATGCCCAATGGCAAAAAAAAACTTATTCTCATGCAAAATGATTATTAAATGTTTATAATACAATATAAGGGGGGAAACATACTCAAAATACGGTGGTGGTAACCTGAAAGCCTCATCTCAAAAAGCTCTTATCTGTGACTAAGTAGCATTACATACACATTAGGTATAAAATTCAATATCCAGATCAGAGAAATGTCCAACCAATATTTAAAGGAGTAACAATGGATTAAAAAGGACAATGGATTAAAGGACATTTGAAAGGTCTGAACTATTAGATACATTTCACGGTTCTGCTCTATTATTCCAAATGCCAAAGGCAGTGTGATGGGTTTGCTAAAAATATTATAAAAGAAATAATATGCTACAGGATTTTTACTGCTTAGTATGTTTTATTACTTTCTTGACATGTGATACATCAATGTAATGATTTAGTATATGTTAAAGAAAAAATTTCAAAACTAAATTCTTAAGCTTGCAACTGCCTGCCCAACAGCATACCTTCGGGAGACTCCTCCTGGACGTAGGTGCCTGTCAGGTACCGATGCACCAGGGCAGACTTGCCGCTGGCCAAATTACCCACAATTCCCTGAAACAAACAAAAAAAACCAGACAACCGTTAAGGATAATTAAATCACTCTATTTAGCATTTTACAAATAGAAAGAGGTCAAAATATACAGTAGTCCTAAACACAAACATAACCAAGCATTAGCTAGATGGCCAAGAATGAGCTCATTAAATAGTTCGGTTGGCACAAAAGGGAGTCCAACACCCTCAATTAACATCTCACGTTCTCACCAGCCTCGACAGCTGCAAGGGCATCAACAATGTTGGTATAAACGCTGAGTTTGGCATTCCTCCAGAAAACAAGTGTGCTGTTTACAGCAGGACTGTGTTCACTGAGTCAGCCCGCCAACATGCACTGTGTGCCCTCTACAGCCTGAGAAAGGCAGGAGGTGAGATGGCATACAATGGCGGCACTGTGCCATGTGGAGATGGTGACCATAACTGGCTGTGTCGCATCATGAGAGGATGAGGCTGAGGTAGATTTGGGGGCAGGGCTAGTGGAGCAGAATAGGGAGGTCTAGGGAGGACTGGGGGTAGGAAGCGAAGCAGGGACCACACAGATGAGGGGGACAGTAAGCCTGCCTCTCAGAAACACAGGATCCACAATGGCACCATTGAGGAAAAGAAGGCAGAGCTAGACTGGTAGGAGAGGTGGCAGAGGTATTGGTTTGTACTGGATTAGGAGTCAAGGAGACTTAAGGGTTGCTGTTCTAAGCAGCAGCCTGGCAGCCAATGCTGATCCTGCAGGCACTTCTTCAGAAGAAGTGTCCCTGTTAACACAGTGGAGACACCTGTTCTCCAGGTCAGCTGTCTTGTAGGAAGCCTCCCCTTCACCTGTGCTTGGGATCCCCCACCCCCTCTGCCTTCTCTGGGGAGCTGCTCATAAAAAAAAAAAATCTCCTTTCCCTGTAGTTTCACCTTTTTCTTCAACTTCCCCACCCCCTGAGCGTTGCTATCTGCATTTAAGCACGATCAATTCTTTTAATTTTTTCCCCCTGATAGAGAAGGGTCTCACTGTCATGCAGGCTGGAGTGCATGGCTCACTGTAGGCTTGAACTCCTGGCCTGACGTGATCCTTCTGCCTCAGCCTCTTGAGCAGCTGGGACTACAGGCACATGTGCCAACATACACAACTAATTTTGTGCTTTTTGTAAAGAGGGGATCTCGCTATATTGCCCAGGTTGATCTTGAACTCCTGGCTTCAAGAGTCCTCCCACTTGACTCTCCCAAAGTGCTGGGATTACAGCTGTGAGCCACTGAGCCTGGCCCAAATCAATTCTTGAATAAAAATCACAAGAAACCCAACCCTGGACACAGGTCTCCGACAGAGTTGTCCCCTTCTTGCTGGAGAGCCAGGGATTGCAGGTCCCCTTATTCTTGGTCCCACTTTCTGACCTCCCTCTGCCTCCACCAAAACCATCTGCCGTTCTGACCCTATAGCTACAAAGAAGCTGCCCACAAGGCCACCCACGACTTCTATTTCTAAAACCACTAGCTTTTCTTGCTCCTGGCCTATCCTCATCACCAGAAGCTATTGTCCAGATTCTCTCCCGTCCATCTCCCACCTGGGCTTGCTTCTCTAACTGCCCCCCAGCCTCATGGGCTCTTCCTTTATCCACCCCAACATGCTGAGCTCTCCAGGGCTCCTTCCCTCATCTCCAGCTGATCCTAAATTCCAGTGGTCCCACGTGAGCCTGTCCACATCCAACCTTCTATCAATAAGCTACTGATTCCCAAATCACATTCTCCAGCTGTCCCCACCGCAGCTGCAAGTCCTCCCAGAACTAAACCAGTTCTGCATCTACACCTGAATATGATCTACATCAGTACTCACACCACATGTCCACACTTCACCTTTCCCCAATCTATTCATCAGCCTCTATGGCCATTCCCACCCAATCTTTCAAACCAGAAACCTGGAAGCCATCCCTGACTGCCACCAATCAGATGTCACAGAATCCCTTCAATTCTGAGTACCTTGGCTGTCACTACTGGTGTCTGCTGGATCATGGGAACTATCTCTGCGTTGGCTCCCTGCCTGTGAGTGCCCCCTCTTCACCCCAAGAACACCAGAGAGATTCTTGGAAGATGACAATGAGAAAATGGTACTCCCTCATAGCACAACCCTGGAAAGACACCTACTGCCTGGAGGTCAAAGTCCAAATGTTTTAGGAATCAAGTATCTCCCTCCAAACTCTCACCCCCCATGTTGTTGTGGGCAGGTCTGTGGACCTACCACACTAACACTTTACTCTTTCTCTCACATGGGTACCTTGCCCTCTTCCCCTGATGAGAGTTTCACTTTCTCTTCAGATTTCCTTGCTTCTTCCTGCACATCCAAAAGGCCTGCACTAGGTAATGCTCTTGGCTCTATCTCCGACCACGCTGAGGTCTCTAAAGACCAAGCTCTGTGTCTCTGGATTCGGGCAAGGACATCAATTCTGAATCCGTACACCTGTCACAGCCTGTGGCCCCAACAAAGTACCTGGTAAATACAGTATGACTGGGTGATGGATGGGAGGAGGGATAGGAGAAAGGATAAACAGATGAAAGCAAAGTAAGAGACAGGAGGGAAGAAGGAAGGCTGATTAAGTAAATGATAACACCACTAACTAGAAGAATAAACATAGAAGAGAACAGATTTGGCAGAGACTCTAAGTGAATTATAGACCACCCTTATCGGCTATCTGGACGATGGCACATCGACCCAAAAGTCCTCCTTCCACCTAGTCCTGACACTCTCATTCTCCACTCAGTGGCCACAGTGACCTTTTAAAATCCCACGACCTGTACTGTCCTCTCGAGCCACAGTTCTAACCCAATAGCCTCTCTGTCTCTCATCTTGATTTACCTTCTATAAACAAGTGACCATACCTCATCCTAATAGGCCTTGCTGTCTCCAGATAAACAGAACTTTCCACGTCAATGACCACCCAAAATCTACTCCTTCTCATGGATCAGTAGTCAGTTCAGATGTCACCTCCTCTGAGAAGCCTTCTGAGATGGTCTGAATGTTTGTGTCCCCCCTCCCTCCAAATTTATATACTGAATCCCCAACCTCAAGGTATTAGGAGATGGGGCCTTTAGGAGGTGACTAGGTCACAGGAGTGGATTCGTGTCCTTATAAAGAGACCCGAGAAAGACCCCTCATCTCCTCCACCATATGAGGACACAGTAAGAAGACACAATCTACAAACCATAAGATAGGTCCTCTCTACACACCAAGTCTGCCAGTGCCTTGATCTTGAATTTCCAGTCCCCAGAACTGTGAGCAATAAATGTCTGTTGTTTATAAGTTGCTCAGTTTTTGGCATTTTGTTACAGCAGCTAAACAGACTAGGGCGCCTTCCTACTGTCACAGCCTCAGCTGGGTACCTCTTCCCAAAGCTCCCCCGGTCCTCTGCTCACAAAGCCACATTACAAGGTAACATATTATTTTAGAAACATCAGTGTGGGGGTCTGACTCTCTGATGCTGACAAGTCCTCAAGGACAGGGGCTGTGTCTTATTCATCTTGCTGTGTCCCAGAGTAGCACCCAGCCCAAAACAGATGACAACACTAGTGAGAGTGAATGAATGAATGAATAAATAAATGCCTCTAATGCTAGTGAGTATGGGGAATGAGATGCTTTAATAGTATGGCACAGAGTCAGGTTCAGAGTCAGGCTAGGTGGACAGATCCTAAATAAAGCTGTCTCTCCTCCTGATTTGACTTATGTCTTTTTTTACCTTGGGCCTCCATAATCTGAGAATTTCTACCTACTAATTATTCTTTTGCTCAAGGGCACCTGCTGTTTGTCAGCTTCACGCTGAGAAAATCCAAAACAGTATGCCACAGAATTAAATTTTTAATTAAGATTAGAGTTTCTCTTTCCTGAGGAAAAAAAATGTTCAAAAATCAAACACTGTTCAGTCTGTGCTCTCTCTGCATACATATTCCTCCCTTCTTCCATGTAAAAGGTGGACAAAGATTTACCCCTTAGAAGGTCAGTATCAGTCAGTCTTGGGAGTAGCTGGGGAGGGGTTTGATTTGCCTTGAACAGACATCTCAGACCATCTTCTTTTTGCATATTATGGACATTATCTTAATTTGAAACACTGGTGGAGCCCCACAGCTGATGGTGAGGGGGAAATAAAATGAAGGTCCAAATGCCCTTGCAACTGTGATGCTCCACTGGTCAGATTGTAAGAACTGCCGTGGGATGTGAACCAAGAGGGAAAGAATCAACCCCAGGTGGGACAAGGGGCATCATGGAGAGAAATAAGATGTCCTGAAAATGACAGAACTATGACCTGTCATTTAGGTGGGACGAGGACGCCACCATCCATTCGGCATCATCTGTGCAGAGCCATGAACTGTGAAGGCCCCGCGCCCGGCCCTTCCTATCACAAGATGAAAGAGAACATGGTGTCTTTTTAAAGCCATTTCTTCAGTCCCCATACATTACCACTTACCTGTTACACTTGAGGTTAGCTGAAAAGGAAATCAAGGCTTTCAGTGAAAATCCCATTTGGGAGTCCAATAAAAACACACACAGGATGTGAGGAGCTGGGGAATGAGGGCCCTTCCAGAGGCAAAATGTCCAAGGTCTATTTACACTTTCCACCAAAACAGAAGCATCAAACATGTGTTGCCAGGCGCACACCTGCAGCCGCTAGCACTGACCTATGTGGCACCCAAAACAACTGGTCATCGACGATCTGACCACAATGCAACTTCAGAAAACATAAGGCATGGCACTACCACTCTTGAAAAGAAAGCGAACATTGATTTTTTTTTCTCTGATGGATTCCAAAAGATTTATTGCAAAATGTAACATAAAGAGGTCATTGGAGGCTTGCCATAACATCATGTCATTGCTGTATTTGTGAAGCAGGGGCAGGGGTTCCTGAGGCACTGACCTCAAGGGCCACCTGTCCTGGGGATGCTACATGAGGAGGGGAAACAATTGCAGTCCTGTGGGCATTGGAGGCTGCCTTCCAGAACAAAAGAGCACTTTCTTCAGACCCTGAGCACTCTTCGGCACACAAGGGATCTGCTGAGGGCACCCATGAAGGCCAGTCGCCTGATGATGCCACAACAGGAGGGCGCCTGGACTAGAACAGAGCAGGTGGTCCTGCTGGGGTCTCGCCAATCCACACACAGGTCAGGAATGGGCCCCTTCTAATAAATGTAGAACCATTAGCATTTACTTGTCCATGATGGAGTCAACCCCTTCATGAATTCAAGCAAGCCATTAAGATAGTCATGATTTTAGACAGAATAAGAGCCCATGCTGGGTTTTGTTTTGTTTTTTGAGTTGGGGTCTCGCTCTGTTGCCCAAGCTGGAGTGCAGTGGCACTATCACGGCTCTACGAAGCCTTGACCTCCTGAGTTCAGGCAAGCCTCCTGCCTTAACCTTCCAAGTAGCTGGGACTACATGCATGTGCCACCATGACCAGCTAATTTTTAAAAATTTTTTTGTGGAAACAAGGTCTTGCTATGTTGCTCAGGCTGATCTCGAACTCCTTGGCTCAAGCAATCCACCCACCTCAGCCTCCCAAAGAGCTGGAATTACAGGCTTGAGTCACTGTGCCCACCCTATGCTGCTCTTTAACATAACTGCCCCCTATACTCCCAGGCAGATATCCTAGAAAACTACATGCTTTTGAAATTTGAGCAAAGAATAAGATTTTGGCAGTAGGTATCCTCAATGACAGGCTGTTAGGATCACATGGACCCACTTAGAACCTACAACACCTTGAACAGCCAAAACTAAGAGGGATCAATAATCGATGGTCACAGTCAGTCTGTAATACTGGCAACAATGTGACTGCCAGTCCCACATGGCTGTTTCAATTCAAATGAACTAAACTCAAATAAAAACCTAAAATTCGGCTACTCAGTCACACTGGCCACATTTTAGTCACTTAACAGCTGCATGGGACCAGCAGCTACCACATTGAGACCCAGGAAGTTTCCACTGTTGAGAAAGTTCTATTGGACAGTGTGAGGTAGAAGCACCGACTCCAGGTTCAAATCCCATCTCCACCACTTAATCAATGTGGCTCCTTAGGCAAGTTCTTAATAGCCCTGAGCCTCAGTTTTCTCACCTGTGAAATGGGGATAATAATAGTACCTACCCTTTCCATGGGGTGGTTGTCAGGATTAAACATGATAATGTATTAAACATGTAAAGCACTTAGAACATGCCCCACACAGAGTCAGCACTTTATAAACACTGTCACCATCAGCAAAGCACTATTTGTATCGTTTCCCACCAATCGCAGAATGGCACTTTGGTTGTCTTGATAGGGAGTAACTGAAACTGGAAAATCTTTTTGAGAAACTCCTGGTGACAACATGGCCACCCTCGCGTCATTCATTTGACAGGTATTTCCTGAGTGTCTTCTACAGGATTAAGACCGTGCCAGTACAGCCATGACAAGGCGCACAAAGGACAGAAAGAGGTGGCTGTTTCCAGGCTGGTCTTGCGGAACCCCAGGCTTCTGAAACCGCCCCTGAGACTGACAGACACTTTGTCTCCCATGAGGAAAGAAACCGTTGGCAGGCGTTGCAGAGAAAGGTCAGCAATCTGGAGGAAGGAACATGGGGAAACAGGAAAGAGATGGGCCCAGCTGAAGACACCAGCAGTGATGGAGGGGCTGGAGTATATCGGACACTGACAAAGAGCAGGCACAGCGAACACAGCCTGCCCATCTCAGGGCGCCTGCCACTCACTGTCCTAAGTTTAAAAATATGGATTTCTCCTGGTGACAAAAGGCATATACACTCTCTTCAAAGCTCTGAAAGTGTTTTGTTGCTCTATCTCCTCCTCTCCAATGTGAGAAACGTGAAGGGCCCTGTCCCCCGACCCCTGTCCCATCCCCTAAGCACCCACTGAGGTTTGGAACCAGTGGGAAAGAAGAGTCCACAGGTCTCTGGGGGTCTGGCTGGGTGACTGGGGAGGCAGGCTGGTCCTCTGACAGAAATGCAGGGGGCAGAGGTGCTGAGACTGAGCAGGCCATGTTTCATCAGTAGTTGCTGAACAACAAGAGCTCATCTACCTTTCTTTCCTGGTCAGAATCCATCGCTTGACAAATTAGAAAATATACATATACACACACATATATAGACATGTATACATATGTACACACACATACACAAATGCCACATATCTCATGACAAAGAACATCATTATTTAATAGTTAGATATGTCCCTTCCTCCCATCCTCAGGTGGCAGGGTATATAGTAGAGAGGGGCTCAAAGGAAAGGTTGTAGTAGACCACTTTTTACATATGCCAATTTTAAGCTTTTAATAATCTCACTGAAAGGGTAAAGTTGATAATACAAAGACAAAGCTTTTAATTTTATGCCAATACTTTGTAATAGGGTAAACAGACATATTTAAAACATGATGAACACCAAAGTTTGATGGCTTATTGCAGAAACCCTCCATGACATCCTGCAAAAGACAAATAAACCCCTGTGGGTTGGGGGGGTACTATAAGAGATGGTGATGGCTCCTACTCTGCACACACAACACCACTCCAGCTAGGTGGCTGTTGTGGCCACTGGAGATGCACTCAGGGCTCCAGCCCTGAACTACCAGCTACTCCTGGCCCTTTCCAGGGAAAAACCCAGAGCCATGCTTCACCTATGGGCCCCAGCAGATGCCAGGCAGCCTGGGAATGCGGGCTTGGTACACACACAGGGTCACATCTGCCTCTTGCAGAGCACTTCCCCTTTCCTACAGGTGAGGAATGACAACGACCCAGGCCACAAGACCACTCACCACTTTGAGCTCCGGGACAGACCGACTCAACGTCCATTCCTGGCTGTTCACAAAGGCATCTGAAAAAGAGAAGAACAAAAACAAAGTCAGGCTCCATGGTTCAGTGAAGGGCCTCGCCTGAATGTCCCCAACACACCACTTTTCACATGGGAAGGACAGCAAAGATGGTGGGGACCAGCATCTCTTCCACCCCAGAGAGGTCATGATCTGCCCAAGTTCACTTGGCTCAGAGAGATGCCAGCTGCGCCTTCTGACTCCAAGTCTATCTGTAACAACGCTCTGTCCAGCGACTTTGACAGTCACCAAAAACCTAACTTCTAATTTTTCACTGCTCAAGCCACAGGTCTTCCTACTGTCCACTGCTATTTTCAGGCCCTCCTGACTGTGCCTGCTCACAAGTGCGGAGATGTTTAAGGATGGATCTGGCTTTCCCAGAAGACACCCTGTTACAGGACAGTCAGCCAATATTTTTTTTAAACTAAAATAGTTACTTTTCCAAAATATCACAAAAAAGGTATTAGAGGATGATGACTGAATTGTGAAAATCTAAACCATCACAATACAAGCAACTCTGTAGGGTTTAAAAGACTTAATGATAGAGTTTTGATTCTCACAAAAATATTAAACACTGAAGATCCAGCCAGGATGGTTTAAGACGTAACAGAAAGATGAGGGTCCCCAGGCACTGTAGGGCCATCTGCAGAGTCCAGTTCTGTGCTGTAGGGTACGTGCCCCCTACCCTGATAAGCACACTTAGGACAGTCTCCCTAGGTCAGCCGTCTCACAGTTTACCCACCCAATACTGATGGCCCAAATGACCCTGACTTTACTCACAACCTGATTTTCCACACACCTCCACATGCCATGTCTTATCATAAATGAGACCCTACAGTAACAGCCGTGATCTGCCCTGATGACCCACTGCAGCTCTGTCAACACAGGCAGCATGGGCTGGTACAGAGAGAGGTAGCAGACCCTATTGAGGGTAAATATGTCTCTTTCCAAATGCAATTCACTTTCTATACATTTTCCTCAAACACTGAAACTCGTTCACTCTATGTTATGATCAAGAAGTGAAGTGAAGCCGGGCCAGTGGCTCAGCCTGTAATCCCACACCTTGGGAGGCTGAGGTGAGTGGATTGCCTAAGCCCACGGGTTCGAGACCCACCTCGGCAACTTGGTGAGACCTCATCTCTACAATAAATCAAAAAAATTAGTCAGCTGTAGTTGCAGCTACTTGGAAGGCTGAGGCGGAAGGATCACCAGAGCCCAGCAGGTCGAGGCTGCGGTGGCTGGGAGCAGCCACTGCACTCCAGTCTGGGTGACAGAGTGAAACTCCAACTCATAAAAAAAGAAGTGAAGTGATTCACACAACGTCCATTAAGTCAAGAAAAACAATCACTTTCAAATAGACGCATGATACTCAAATCCAACAGATACAGGAATGGAAGAAAACGGCCTAACTGTAAGTTCCACCCAGGTATAGTGTAAGGACAAGAACCATGTTTGGAGGAAGCCAGGCACGCTGAGAGAACACAATCCACAGGGACACACAATGAGGTGGGTGCCTACGCAGCAAACAAGATGCCACAGACCCTGCAATGACAGAGTCAAGGGTCTCCAGATGCTGAGGAGGTGGAATGCCCCATCAGAGAACGATCCCCTGCTCCAGGAAAGGGTGGCTGATTGATCAGGAGGAGATGGGTTGACCCTAAGCTACACAGCTGATGCATAAATCTCTAATCTTGAAACGTCAGTTGAAAGCAGGTAGGGATTGGTGTTCAAGCAGCAGAGGTGCTGGACTTTGGGGGGCATGAAACGCCTGTCCAACTGGCAGAGTGGGTGGGCAGAAAAGTCCATATGCAGGCACTCAGAAGGAAAGATCAAGAGCCATGAGGAAGACACGTGGGAGGCAGTACCCTCAAAGACTTCCAATCATGCCCTTCTACTGAAGCAGATACATTGGGGGCTAAATACTGGGGGTGCAAGTTACCTGAACACTCACTCTTTGGCCAACCATACACTACCCTAACATGCCACAGTTAAAACATCCCCTGTGAACAGATAACCTGTGGGTCTGACATCCAGGAGGTGCTCAGTCAATAAAACCAATATTGTTTCCTAGCAACATTAGTGAACAGCATTACCCAATAAGTTGCAAAACACTAACTTTCTTTCATCAACTGTTCTCTCAGGAAAATGGAAATGTGGCCTTATAGGATCTGTGGAGTGATCCCAATGGTCCAGGAAAGACGACAGGTAGGTAAATGACTATGACCCTCCCAAATGCATGTACTGATAGTGTCCAGCTTCTCAGAAAGCCACCCTGCTTCTGCACTTTTAACAAACCCTAACCCTGGTTAAATAAATTTGGACATATCCATACAACAGAACACTTTCCTCAGTAACTGAGGCCTCAACGTACTGAAGTGGAACTATCCCCAAGATCCCCAAGCTATTATCAAGTGATGACAGCAAGGAGCAATGGAGAGTCATACAGGATCCTAACACATGCTTTTTAAGAAAAGTGTATGGTGGGGGTTGTGTAAAATGCCCACATGCTTGGCAAGGCTGAGAATATTTCTAGTAAGATTAAAAAGTTGGCAGTTCCTGATTTAGGGTGAGAAACTAGGTATTAGAATGACAAAGGTGACTAGACAACTTTCCTTCCATTGTTACATTTTAGTACCCTTAAGATTTCTACCATTTGGCATGTAAGAAATTAAATAATGGCATTTTAAAAATGAACTTTAATAGCAAAACAAAGAGGGAAAAGTATGAATTAAAATGAGCTCAATTCATTAATGCACTGCTGATTTTAAATGCATACACCATAAGATTAAGTTTCCAATGACAAATATTAAATATTCATTATAAATTAAGCAGGGTTTTGTTAAACAAAGATGCATGATTATATAAACATTAGAACAATGTGTGGCATCTTTTTACTTGCAAATAAAGTCTCACTTGAACAGAATATATATATGTTTATGGCAACTAGATTAATAAATGCTTGACTTAACTAGCCAAGAAAAACCCCTTCATCTTCCATAAAAAAAAAAACATTTATTTTAAAAACTTTCATCACCACCATCACTGCCCAGTTGCAAGGCTAAATGAAAAATAACAGTGGATCTAACGAAAGACTGACATACCAGAAGAGTTCTTTATCCCCCTCCCCTGTGGGGACCCACCAGTGGGTTGGACACTATGCTAATCTGGAAGAGTTCACCTTGCAGAGAGTGGGGTAGAGATGGGCAGGGTGGGGTCCAGGCCAGCTGCCCTTATTCTGAGTTCCATGGTACAGCAACAATGGAAGGATAAACATGCTTCAGGGGAACACATCCAGGTGTGTGTGTGTATGTAAGTATGTGAATGCTCAATGCATGTGTGTGCGCATGCATGTGTGTTTCTGGACCAGCCAGAATCAAAAGTCACAGAAGATGTACCTGATTTTCAGAAGTGTTTCCCTTGTGTTTTATGACTGAACTTGATGCTACAAATCATCACTTCCTGAGAGCGTACCATGTGCCAGGCTTGCTGAACAGTAACAGCTTAGTGGGGTAGGTTCTCGCCATTGCCCTCAGATGGTGTGGGCTGGACAGGGTAGGTCACCTGGGAAAGGTCCACCAGCAATGACAGATTCTAAATTCCTCCACTTTAAGGTATGCTTGTCTCAGACTCTTGGCAAAGCTGGCAACAAGTGAGCATCAGCTAGGACTCTGGAAGTCAGAACCGTGGAATCTGCATTTTTAACATGCTCCCCATAGAATTTGTGTGTCCACACTTTATTACTTATATCTTTAAGTTTTTAAAATTTGTGAAGTGGATGTTGCAAATGTAAAACTCCAACAGCAGGGATTGCGCAGGAAATGTGAAAAGGGAATACAAAGTTATCATAAGCAGAAAGTGCTGTAGCTACTGAGGTCAAAGACTGTGGCCCCTGAACCTAGGCCACAGACTTGAGCCCTGCTTCTCTCACATGGCCCTATGCATCCCAAGATTCATGGACTCACAGCCAAGGGAGACTAAGAGGAAGCAGAGTGAAATCGGTGTGAGGAATGGGGAGTCAGGAGTGATGGGTCTGACAGTGACCTTGGGTAACTCTCCTGGTTTCTCAATTTCCTCACCATAAAATAGAAGTACAAGGGGGGACCCAAAGAGATTGGAATTATATTTGGAGAGCAGGCCCCTTGTAGAACAGGTTTCCCTCACTAGGTAAATGTTCTAGGAACCCATCAGCATCACTGTACAGCCAGCATTGTTGTGAGAGGCTGCATTCAGCTTCGGTGAATTTTTTTTTAGATTATTTCATTGCGTTTGCCCATTTGATTTACAAACACATCTGCTCACACCATGCTGAGTATTCAGCAATTTTTGACCCCAAATGGCATGACCCCCATGCCCTACCCTCCCTATTCACCCCATATCATCTGAGTGACTTTTTTTTGGTTTCCCCAGATGAAAAAGTCCTCAAAGGGAAACGTTTTGTGGATGTAGAAGAGGTGAAACAAAAAACGGCAGAAGCACTAAAATGCATCAGAACTGATGAGCTTAGAAACTGTTCTGAGCAATGGAAAAAGCACCTTGATAGGTGCATCAAATGGAGAATACTTTGAAGGTGACTAAAGTTTTAAAATGTAAGAATAAATACAATTTGTTATAAATAAATTCTAGGTTTTTCTGCCCCCCCCCCCATATTTCTCCCCTAAGGATACCGTGATGTTCTAAGGAGATGGGGTGGCCTGGTGCTCAGCAAAGGTCCCAACCATTCACAGTGTAAGCATAAGCAGTACTGCCTCTGGGGGTGTGATTAAAGAACAAGGCTTCAGATGTTCCATTTCCTGGGTGCTGCACTTGTGAAGAGGACGCTACCTGCCCAGAGACATGGACACAGGCTCCCTGAACTCACTGCTGTGCTGTAACCACAGAGCAGCCCAAAGTGACACATGACCTGACAAGTCCTGATCAAGCAATCACACCACAGCTATTGAAAATCATAGTACAAAGTGACCCATTAACTCCAAAAGGAGTGAAACGCAAGCTAAAATGTATGGTT